CCTGTATCCGGGATCTTGCCCTTTCGGTCATGACCCAAAGTTCATGACCATAGGGGAGAGTCGGAATGTAGATTGACCAGTAAATCAAGAGCTTCGCCTTACAGCTCAGCTCCTTCTTCACCACGACGGACCGGTACATCGACCGCATTACTGCAGAAGCTGCACCGATCCGTCTGTCAATCTCCCGTTCCATCCTTCCCTCACTCGTGAACAAGACCCCAAGATACTTGAACTCCTCCACTTGAGGCAGGAACTCTCCACCAACCTGAAGGGAACAAGCCACCCTTTTCCGACTGAGAGGAATGTATTAGATTTGGCTTTTTCCCCCTCTGCTTTTTGTTGTTCCAATGCAAAAAATAGAAAATACTAAAAAATTTGTTATTGCAACAGTTTTCTAGGAGAAGTGGTGCATTATCTGACAGAAATGCAGGGGTGTCAGTATTTTGGCCTTGATTGTACAGTATATTGTACCTACTCTATAGGCACATATTTCTGTAAGACTCAGCTACTTACTGTGGAACAAATTAACCATATGCATGGAACCCACAGTTTCCATTCCCAGTATTTACACTTTTAGATGATAAACGGAATTCAACACCAGTCAAGAAGTTGCTACTGAATCAGTCTGTTGGTTCACCCAGGCTATTGTCATTCACCGTAGACAGACCAGGGTGCATTGAAATGGATCTCAGCTAATAAACATCTTGAAAATGTGAATCCCCATTTCCCACTCTTAATTGCACAAACACAACAGAAGAATGGCTGTTTTCTTCAGACAGGTACAGCCAGGACAATCTTTGCCCCTTTGATGCTGGAATAGAGACAGACCACTCAAATGGCTGCTTTCTGCTGTGAGAATCCATTGCTATTTTATTGGTTTACAAGTCTTTATCTGAAACTCAATGGCCACCTCCATCAGTTTTATGCTCTGTCAGCAGGCTACTTTGCATCCAAAATGGGCTCTTATTTAATCTGTTGACCAACCAAACAGGTCATAAACGTAGTGAGTTATTCTTACCTAGATGGGAAATGTTTCGTCTAGTTAGATTTATTATAACACAGTGCTCACTCACCTGATACTGACTCATGGCTGGGAGCAGTGTCGGGCATGCCACAGTTCATATGTGGGGAAACTGGCTCTGTGGGTAGGTTGACAAAAGGTGGAGGTGGGGTTGCTATTGGTGGTGGACGTTCCGGAGGTAAAAGCTGACCTGCTGATGAAAGACAGATCTGGGTAAACTATTGAACTGTAGGAAATGTCATTTTGTTGTACTATAATGTCCTTAAATTTCCTCCCAAAGTGCTGTTGAGGGAGTGGTAAAATCAGGCAGCGCATCTGTAAATTAAAGCTTTACATGTGCTTCCTCATTATCTAACTGACCTTTGCAGCCGGTGGTCAGGTTTTCCTCCAGGTCACTACCATCCCCACAATTGTCAATGCCTTTATCATCACACACCAGGCTGAGAGGGATACATTTCCCGTTCCTGCAGGTGAAGTAAGGCTCACTGCTGCACTCTGATTGGTTGAAACCTGAGGAATAACATGGCAATCAAGGAATCAGTGCAAGAGAGAAAAAATCAGAGTTTTCCATCAAAACGTCTGATACAATTTGTAGCTGTAGGAGCAGGTGGATGAATCTCTAAAGAGAAGATTCCTTTCGATTGAGCAAAACAAAATAGTGCAAAATCATTGACCAGCAGTGACCTTTAATTTTCTAATTAAGGATCACTGTAGCTCATTCAGCTAACTCATGTGAAATCTGTAAATGTAGGACATGTACAGTATTAGTCTTAGGTGTTTAGGGCCTGACTTTGTTGCTCCCTACTCAGAAGCTAGACTCAGAACCTGGGGTGGACATGGGGCTTTTGAAATGTTCACAGCAGTGGCAGCGGCATAGCTTTCTGGTGAAACATGTGGCAGCAGGCATGCATCAAGGGATGGGCAGAACTCTGAAGGCTTAAATACAGTGCCATGATTAAAAGGGTGTGTTGGGTGTGAGAAGAGCATGCTGTGCCAGTAGTAGTTGTTGGCTTAGGTTTATTCGACACAGTTTTAAACCTTTCTAGCATCACAGCGGTAGATAGAATCATCTTAATATAAATGATCTAATGGTCAAATTATAAAAACAGGAGACAAGTGGACAGATGATCAACAAAGTGTGTCATTTATGCAGGTATGTCCTGCTACCAAAGGTCATAACTGGTATCTTTCTGTAATGACCAAAAGGCTTTAAGTCTTTCTTACCCAATCTGAAGGAGGTGAAGTCCCCCACGAAGTCAACTCTGGGCTGAGTCCCCCGGGTCACTAACCTCAGGGTCAGGTAGTTTCCTGTGGACAGCACCGGTCGCGGTAGGCTCTTCCCACAGAGAGGAAGCCCGAGGCGAGGTGAGTTCCTGTCCCTTCCATCATAGAACTGGATGTACGAACCAGCATGGCATAGGTCACCCAAGCTTTCACCAGAGGTGGGCTCCAGTCTGGGGTTAAGCGAGGTGGAGCCACGAGGGGACTCTGGGAAGAGAGGGGCTGGGCTTAGAGGGGCGACTCGCAGCAAACTGTAGACCAAGAAGAAGCGGAAGTGGAACTGGACTTTGTCTTTGGCAGAGCTGGCCTGCATGGTGAGGTGACAGTCGGTTCCCATGGTCACAAAGTAGTACTTCTTGGATTCCCGGTGAGAGTTGACAATCATTCCGTCACCCCGGATCGTCTGGCCACAGAAGTCCACCACATTCACTTACAAGAAAGAGACACCAGAGACAGATCCCTCAGAGACAAACCAATACACAAAGAGCGTCTATTATGAATTGAGTTTAACTCCAAATGTACAACTGTCTATGGCTGGCTTTTCTAAACATAAATATTATTGAACAATAACCTGTCTCTGTTGGAGTACAGAAGCGTATTTTTCATGTAATTGGACATTTCAGTCACAATCAAGACAGTGTCTGATGTGTCAAGATAACATTAAAATGAATTCAGCATTTCAGGAAAGCAAGAAGAAAATCAGAAACTTGAAGAAAAAAGCATAAAGATTTCTGGACACTCAGCATCCATTCATATTTTGAGCTGATACTTTTCACAGTTTAACATATTTTTAATTAAATTGATTGATAATGAAACTAATTGCTATATGTTCTTAACAACATCCCCATTTTTATTTAGTAATAAGTCAAGGGCAAAATGAGATGAGAGACAAGACTCACAACCCTAAAGCTAGCCCAGCTGCTCGTCTTATCACTTATAGATATACCAAGGCCTGTTGACAAAGAACCTTCATAGATCTCTGAATGTGTGCTGAAAAGAGGGCAGTTAAATTAAAAATGACTACTGTTTCTACAAATAAAAAGTTTGTCTTTTGCACTCTGGGAGATGTCCAAATTCACATGCATCACAGTAAATTTGCAGTGAAACTTTGAGAAACAGTTCACTGCTCATTCACAGGCAGGACCAGGACCTGAGCCACAGGCCAAATAATGAGAAAATTTATAACCAACCCTGGAGTTTATTAGCTCCGTTTCCCCGGGAGACAACTAGCTCTTCCTGCACTAACCTCCAGGAATGTCCCAAAGCCTAGGAGCCCCTGTCAGTGGGAAACAGCTAATCCCCTCTGAACTGCACAAATAAATACAAAGCCATGGAGGACACCGTTAAAAACATGGATGACCAGAGGCTGGTGAGCCCCCAGTAAAGATTTTTACAGGCTGAAAATTCAGCTCTTTTTAAATACTCTGATTGTCAATCGAGTCCATTTCAAAGAGCAAAAGATCCAGATGGTGTGAGGGTCAAGGTCCTGGGTGACACAGTGTAGTGCTGTCTGAGAAAGCCTAGTGTGGAAAATGTCAGCAGCCTCATAGTCCATTCATATATTATTATAATACTATTGAATTGCCCACAATATTTGAATACAATAGACATTAATATGAGAGCTATCTCAATATAAAAACTGTGATGAAACTGACGGCTGTTTGTATCTGTCTTATTAATGAATGCCACTTAAACCAAACCACTGATCACAACACGTGATCTGTTACTTTAACATAATTTGATTCTAGAGACATATCAATAATAATAATAATAATAAAGTTTAAAGAGGTTTTTATTAAACCTAACCGAGTTACTTTAAGGAGAAGCTTAAGAGGTCATACCAGTAGTTTTACACGTTTAGTTCATTTTACTCAAAAATCACTGATTTGTGAAACAATAAATAAAATGTGCTGTTGAATCACAAATCAGTACTTTGGTTTCCAATCATTCTTGAATGATATGAAAATACAGTATATTAACAGACTCTTTAAACTTGCTTGATTTGTGTGATCTGTCATAGCAAATATCAAACCACATCAAGCCTACATTTGCTTTTGTTAAAATTCAAATGCTGTGCAGACCTTCCAAACCAATCTGATATTCATTACACACACCAATAATACAAACTTGCCCACTTTATTTTACATTTCATTAAATATTTCCAGCATTTAATAACACAACTCAAGGCTGAGTCATCAGATTTTTACTACACACACACAAAAAAAAAAGAAAAAATAAGAAATTTAATGGCAGCATGGAACAGCAGAGGAAACACTCAAAACAATCTATAACAGTACATAACACAATGGTGGGCTATGGTTCTTCAAACTTCACCAACACCACCAATAAATCAGAACCTACATCTAATGAGCAGTAGGCTACACAATATGTAATGTGTGAAACAATCATGCATTCTTAGGTCTATTTTGCATCATATAGTCAATACTTTAGTCATATCTGCAACTATTTATTTCTGTTATACTTTTCCTGATATTCAATATTGCATTACTTCTACTTTTACTACTACAGTGGGTGATATACAACTGCAGTAATTATTATAGCATATCATACAGTATTATCTCAGTGCCCTAATGTTACAATAAGTATTCAGTGACAAATGGCAGGACTCATATTTATCCATTTTATCAAATGTAATTTTGTTTTACAAAAACAATCACATTTTACAGAAAGTATGGTCTCACTGTAACAGGCCAGTATAGATAATACATACTACAGATATAGAAACAGCAGGCAAACTTTCACTGCAATTACTACTACTACTACTACTGCTACTACTACAATTAAGTTACTGTTCTACGCTCCTGCTTCTGAAACTAACAAGGGTCTATCAAGCATTTTACGCACAGAGAACATTAATAGCACGCGCTTGGCAGAAGTGCATCACTTCTCATCTGACCCTTATCTATCGGTGAGTGAGCAGTGTATCCAAGTCTTACCGGTGTCGATGGCTGAGCTGTGGAGAGTCATGAAGCAGAGCAGGAGGAGCAGCCTGCCCAGACACTGCCAGCAACCCTCCACTTCCAACTCCATGATCCAAGCTGAAAGACAAGCTCGCAGAGAAATCCGACAGTCAGTTCACAGAGAATGGGATCAGATTCATTCTTACTTCACAGGAACTTGTCGTATCTCATCACAGAAGAAGAAACCAAGCTTGGGAAGACACACAGAGCCCTTCCCGTGAGATCAGCCGATCTGCTCTCCATCATCCTCTGTGGCTTTTATTCCATTTGAACCTCTGGGTCCGCTCCATTCACGTGTCCTGTCATCACCATGACAACACACAACCAATCAGCTGTCAAGCCTGCGACAAAACATTCGAAGTTACTCCACAACTTTAGCCTACCACTTACTGAGATGTGGCCAGTGAAAATTATGGGGTGAGATTAATAAGGTTATACAGCATAGAAGACTTTCAGACTATGCAAGTTAATTCAAAGATAAAGATACTACTGTATAAATTGCATTCTGTTTACTTCCTTGGTTGAACTCAAGAGATGATCATCAGATAATGATATTCATATGAGATCAGCTAAGGAATCAATTATCATGTCCAACTTGAATGCATCATCAACAATAAAATCAAATACTGTATGTAGTTTGCTGAAACAAATAAGAACTGATAACAAAGGTTTCATTTATATCCAGCACATATTTTATATTATTTGCAAGTGTCTTCCATTCTGTGAATCATAGCCTTAAACTATGGAGATAAAATACTATCAAAAATGTTACAAATGCGTGTTTAACATTTTGTCTGTAACAAGCGATTTGTGTGTGTGTGTCATGAGGATCACAAATGCGTGCTGCGCAATCTGCATGTACAAAGCCATTTGTGTGTGAGTGTCATGCTGTTCACAAATGCATGATGTACAAACTGCACATTTTACCAATGCTTAAAAGCGATTTTTTTGTGTGCAGTTCTTTAGAAAGTACGTACACATTGTTACCTACACATGCGTGGATCGTCTAACACACACGAATCACCTTCCGCGCACACACGGATTTTTGAGAGTGTTTTTCCGCACTCTCAAAAGTCCACGATCCACGAATGCACGGTGCGTTTAAGGACACGTGGAAAACTCGGACATC